CAGCTGAGAGTTTAAGATTCTAAGTTTTAAGAAAGGGTATCTGAATTAATCTCTCAGTAATTTGACATACAGACAGCTATGTGCGTTTTAATAAAAAGCAATGTATTGGAAGTAATACAGTATACTAAGTTTCTAAAAGTTTTGTTAAAATGTTACCACAAATATAAGGTTTGATATCCCTATACTGTTCACTGTATATCAGCCTTTTTACTCTTAAATCGTAAGCAATTAAGTATAAACCAGTACAGATAGTGGTTCATATAGTACCTGACACGCAGTAGAAATTTATAAATCAATTGAATTTAAATTGTTAGATTTTATAAATGTACTACTTAGTAAAATGAAAAACTTGTACTTTAAAACACATTTAAATAGTTCTTAGAATATGTCGTTTTATTTTCTAGTTCTATAACTGATCTATTTAATATTTAAGTCTAATAGCATAATTAATTTTGAGTATGTTCTCACAGACTTAGATGTAAAAGTCAAACAAACAGACCCTTGCCACTTGTGTGAAGTGGCTATTTAACCATGAAATAAACTATTTTTATTGCCATTGCCCTGTGGATATGTTCTTTCTGGCAGTGCTGTCCATATTTGGTGGCTGTGCATGGAGAGCCAGGTGGTGCTGAAAAGCATCGCACAGTGAAGCGTGGATATATCTAGGTTCGACATTTGTCATCCCTTACTGCTGAAGGGAAGGGTAAAATCTGTTTTTCCATATGTTTGTGCTTTTTTTTTCTTGCCCACAGTTTTGTCCAGATGGTCTTATGAACATTGTTTACTTTAGGATGCTATCCCAGATGTTTTGAAAACTGATGGGTAAATGTGGTACACAGATTTGCATGTTACTGTTTTAAAAAATGGTCTTTGTTCTTATAAGAATAAAATGTATTTCTGGTAGAATAAAATATTTATTCCAAGTGAGTGTTAAATATATTAAAGTACAAAAACATATATGTTGTGTGTATGTATGTTATATGGTTAGTATAATCTATATAGTTTATTTTCCCCAACATTTTTTCATGTTAATTAGCAAAAAACCATTATGGAATGTTAAGTATAGGAAATAATTCTGAGGAGTCATTTGTTCAGTGTTCCGTAAACCTAAATATGTAAGACTCTTGCCTCCTATCTTTTATAATTCTTCTCATTGTACATGAATCACTGAAGAGAAATTAGGTGGTAAAATGGCAATAGATTTATAGTCAAAAGATTGTCTTTATAAATTTGGGCAAATTACATAACATGTTAGAGACTGAGTTTTGTAAATGTGACATCAGAGTAACAACCTTGCCCAAAAAGATGGACTAATGCTTGGATTTAATTACTCTTATCATCTTTAATCTCTTAACAATCACCATGAAGCCATCTAGTGGCAACTGCTGTAATGAGAGCTGAAACCTGCTGTAGGCTCTGGTTGGAATCTCAGATATAATTAAGAGGTAGATTGCTCTTACTTGCAAACCCAGCCAGGAGCCACATGGGGCGTCCTCTTGTTTGCGTAGTGCTTCCTTTTTTTTTTTTTCTTTTAATGTTTGTTTATTTTTGAGAGAGAGAGACAAAGCGCAAGCAGAGGAAGGGCAGAGAGAGAGGGAGACATAGAATCTGAAGCAGGCTCCAGGCTCTGAGCTGTCACCATAGACCTCAGTGGGGGCTCGAACCCACGGACTCTGTGATCATGCCCTGAGCCGAAGTGGGATGATCAACCGATTGAGCCACCCAGGTGCCTCTTGTGTAGTGCTTCTCAGCCACTGACTGGCTTTTTTCATTTGCTTTTACATTCGCTGGCAGGTTTGGATATTGTCTTTGCTTTTTTTCCTGCTTTGCCTTTTCTCCATTGATTGTACCAGCCTTTGTCCCCAAGCTCTAGTATGGGATTTAGTTCTTATCACTTGTTTTACTATATGGAAGACAGAAGAAGAGAACTATCTTGCTAGTTCTTCTCTGTGTTAACTCAGAACTCTAGGGTTGGGATAAGATGTTTCCACATGTTAAAAAGAAAAGCCCCGGGGGCACCTGGGTGACTCAGTCAGTTAAGTGTGTCTGACTGTGACTTAGGTCGTGATCTCACGGTTAGTGGGTTCAAGCCCCCCATTGGGCTCTGTGCTGACAGTGTGGAGCCTACTTGGCATTCTCTGTCTCTATCTCTCTGCCCCTTTCCCACTCTCACTTTTTCTCTCTCTCTCAAAAGAAATAAATAAACTTAAAAAAAAAAAAAAGCTGAAAGACTGCAATTAAAAAAAGAAAAGCCAAGAAGATATGAAAACCACAGTCAATATAAAAGGCAAAACTTATATTAGCAAATCAGGGAATCCAATTAGAAATAAGAGATAAACTTGAGGGGGAAAGAAACTAGTAAGTTACAGGAGATGATTAAAAGTGAGGGCATATAAACAACAGACATGAAGGATAGTGTACGAAGATAAGGATTTTGGCACAAATTACAATTCTGAGGAGGCGCTCTGGGCTGTTTTCACACAGTTACATAGTGCTTACCTTGCTAGGTACTTTGCAGATAGCAGCTCTGCATTTAATCTGAAAACCTTCTAAGAAAATGTGTTGGGGTTCCTGCATGGCTCAGTTGGTTTAGTGTCTGACTTCAGCCCAGGTTATGATACCGTGGTTTGTGAGTTTGAGCCCTGCATTGGACTCTTTGCTGACAGCTCAGAGCCTAGAACCTCTTCCGGATTCTGTGTCTCCCTCTCTCTCTGCTCTTCCTCCATTCACATTCTGTCTCTCTATGTCTCTCAAAAAAATATATGTTGAAAGACAGAAAGAGTATGTTAATAACCCCCCCTTGATTGATGCCTTTCAAACAAAAGTCACAGGTGCCAAGTCAAACCTTATTTGAACCAACAGGGTGTACATGACATAAGTCTGCCCATACCTGAGATTAAAGTTTCTCTTTATGGTGTTTGCTCTCCACTTCTGTCCCTGAACACAGCTGCCTCCAGCATCATTCATCTCCCTCAGTGCTGTCATATAGGAGGGCTGGATGGGAAGGGAAGTGTTAACTTATTCTTACGAATTCATCAGAAGCTTAGAGGGCTAAGATTCTCTGGATCCCCTGTTTAATCTGGTACATTTTCGTTTACATTGAATTTTTACTATGGATGTTCTCCCCACTTCACAGCCCTGTGGAAGAAGGAGCAAGAGTAGAGACATTTTCTGATCCTCAACAATCAGAGGAGATAGCCAAATATTTAAAAGTTAATTAGCAATGCAAGACACTATGTCAGTATTAGATGAGTAAAACATATAGTTGCGAAGAACCACAACATTTGAAGGTTGAATGGAATTTAAAATAATATTTCAGTTAAAACCAAAAGATTGGAGAACTTGGCAATTTCCTGTCAAATTTCAAATTATATTTTGGTTCAGAAATTAATGTGCTGCTAATAGATATGATCAATCATGTCAGTTTATAAATGTTAGAAATTGTTCTTCATTTTCATATTGTTTTTAAACATGATGAATTGATATTATAATCAAATCTGTATTAATTATACAAATCAGTGAGCCCAAAACATGTGCTTATATACCATACATATGGGTATTTACTTTTTTTTTTTTTTTTTTTTGCATCTAAGGCATATCCTAGCTTTCTTTTTTTAAATTTATTTTTGAGAGAGAGAGACAGAATGAATGGGAGAGGGGGCAGAGAGAGACAGAGAGAGAAGGAAACACAGAATCCGAAGCATGCTCCAGGCTCTGAGCTGTAAGCATAGAGCCTGATGCGGGGCTCGAACCCACAAGCTGTGAGATCATGACCTGAGCCAAAGTCGGACGCCTAACGGACTGAGCCACTCAGGCGCCTTGTATCCTTGTTTTCTTAAAGGGCTGAACCACATAGTCACTATAAAAACACAGAAAGTCCCTTCAGTTTAATAACAATGAAAAACCCCAGAAATGGCAAACTGAGGGGGCAGGAAAGAGGCCCCTAGGCCAGGGGCACGGGAACCCTACTCATACCATCTGGCCTGGCCACAGGACCCTGGTGTTTAACTTTTTTATATTATAATATAGTTATTAGTTTTTTTAACTTTTTATATGGAAAATTTCAAACTTACAGAAAAGTTGCAAGAACAGTACAAAAAAATGCCACTATATGGTGATTTTCCAATTCCATCATTATTTCTATTTATTAGTTGGCATGCTCTTGTAAGGCAGAGTTTTTCTCTTTTCCTCCCATTTAAAAAACCTATAATCCATTCAGACCCATTCTTGTTTTCTTCAGTGAGTAATAAAGTGTTAGTATCCTCCTTTATTTTGATATTCAGATTTTCTCAGATTGGACCAGTGGGAACTTAGTCAAAATGGCTCTTATATATTTTGACATGCTCATCACTTTTTTGGAACACTTCCTTATTTTCTGGCACAATAAAAATGTTATAGGTTTGTTTTATTTGCTGCTCCAAGGTTTAGAATCAGGAGTCTTCATTTGTTTTTTTTCTTGTTTATTTATTTTTGAGAAACAGAAACAGAGACAGAGCATTAGTGGGGAGTGGGTGGGGGAGACAGAGAGAGACACAGAATATGAAGCAGGCTCCAGGCTCTGAGCTGTCAGCCCAGAGCCCGATGTGGGGCTTGAACCTGCAAATATGAGATCATGACCTGAGCTGAAGTCAGATGTTTAATTGACTGAGCCACCCAGGCTCCCCGAGGAGTCTTCATTTCTTTTTGTGGGGAATGATATTTAGAAACCAAGATCTGGATGTTCTCTCCTTGTTCTTTTTTACTTTATTCTTTTTTAATTTTTAACTCATCTGGAATTTATTCTTCATTATGGTATGAGGTACAGATACATATATCAACAGGAAAAACTATTTAATAGTAAGATAACCAACTAGAAACACTTATTTGTGTTTGTAATCTTGCCCTTCAGGACGGTGATTTATGGGGAAATCTTACTTAATTTTAAGTAATGTATTTAAATTATTTCAAATGATGCATATTTAATTTTACATCTTATGTCAGTTATGTTTTCTCTGACTTAGGTGCATTTTCTAGAATCTTAAAACTTTGTGAAGAAAAATATGAAGCAGGTGAAAAAAAGAAAGGAAGAAAAGGCAGCAGTGTAACACCAGTGAAAGGAATCACAAATTTAGGAAACACTTGCTTTTTCAATGCAGTCATGCAGGTAAGAGTGAGTCATCAGGAAACTTTTTAGAATGTAAAAGATTAATTTTATTCAAAAGTTTTTTCTAATGTTTATTTTTGGGTGACAGAGAGAGACAGAGCACAAGCATGGGAGGGGCAGAGAGAGAGGGAGACACATATCGGAAGCAGGTTCCAGGCTCTGGGCTGTTAGCACAGAGCCTGATGTGGGGCTCAAGCTCATGGACCACGAGATCATGACCTGAGCCAAAGTTGGAGGCTTAACTGACTGAGCCACCCAGGCGCCCCTGTAAAAGATTATTTTAATCAATTTATAGTCATTGGCACACCTGTAAACTAGCAAATGACAGCTAAATGTTCTAGAAATTTCTGTTTTCTTTTTGTTTTAGGCTGGCGTCAGCCATTGCTGCATACATACCCTTTTTGTATGTGTAGCCCCTTTTTGTATGTGTACCCCCTTTTTGCACGGTGCTTCTGGAAGCCTACTCTGTGTTTTACTGTGATTCAGTCAGTAATACTGACATTTATTAAATGTGAAATGTACTCAGTCAAGGTTTTTAAAACCTACACATTTTTTTTGCCATGTCAGATGACGTTTGAGAGTGTAAGAGAATATTCATTCCATAGAGTCAGAGGCATGTTACAACTGAATCAGAAGACTATACTTTTGCTTTCTTTTAGAATTTGGCACAATCTTATATTCTCTCAGAACTGATGAATGAGAGCAAAGAAAGTAGTGCAAAACTCAAGATTTTTCCTTCTTCAGACTCTCACCTGGTAAGAAGTATGATTATCTGGATAATAGCTCTTTTTAGATGAGCCACTGATGGTGTCAAAATCTACCTTTCCTATTTTTCCAAACTGTTAACTGAGATGGTGTTTTGAAAAAATATTTTGAAAAAATAACTCAAAAGCATTTTGTGAAAATCAGATTTTAAAATTCTAAAGTTATACCTTCAAGATCCGTTAGGATTCAAACACTTTGTGGGTCAAACAATACAAAAATATTAAGGCAGCTTTCAAACAAACATACTGGAAAAAACAAAAGGGGTTTGAAGTTTTGTTGAGCAAAACGTCCAGGATTCCTGCTTGGTAGTTACTGGTAACACTTCCTTAAATACAGCATTTTAGTTCTTTAAAGGTAGGTTTGATTTTAATAGTGAACATCTAAAGGTTTTTGGAGCCCTGTCTGAAAATGGATTTTTAAGCCAGTGAGAAAGGAAAAAACAAACAAAAAACAGCCCTTAACATTCAGAAGATGGCACAGCACCTACAGTTAGGCCATACTGTTCCAGCAGTCTCACAGAAGGCCAGCCTCAGGCTAGATTGCTCTGAGACTGACAAAATAAGAAAGCAAGGCCACTTCATAGTTTTATCTAAACACAGACAAAAGCAAGGTTAGTCTCCCACTTAGTCTCCCAAAAAGACTAGAATTTAGATTATCCTAACTCAAAGATAAGGTTTATCGAGATACCCAGTCATGGAATTACCCCCACTTTCTGACAGTATTCAGTTGAGAGCAGACTTCTGCTTCCTTAGGCTCTCTCCGAAATTACTTACCCAATGCTCAAATCCTCTATCAGTTCTTTACAACAAACTATGGTATGTGTTCTCCTTAAAACCCCTCTTGTTCAACTACCAGTTTGTTCCTGGTAGTCTTTTGTTGGAGGGCACTGACACTAGTAATAATGATTTTAGTTAGAAATTGTGTGTGTGTGTGTGTGTGTGTGTGTGTGTGTGTGTGTGTGTGTTAGAGGAAGACAGTGTATATATAGCTCATGATCTGGCTTTTGAGAACACTTAAGAAAGGGGAGTTCTAAAAATTCTTAGCCCAAGAGTCTGTAGTAGTAATCTTGGATTTTTTTTTTACCCAAGGAGGTGGCTTTGAAGGACAATATTGTTGTATTTCTTTGTTGAAAGGGCAGCCTATAAATTATTGCCTCTTCAACCCCTGAAAATCTATATGGTAGATCATAATGCCCTCTTCTAAAGTATACTGAGATAGTGAAAACCACTAAATGGAAGTTAATGCTTAGTCACTTGAAAAAGATTTCCTATTAAATGTGATTGAATGGTAAGTATTTTACATGTAGAACTGTGTCGCAAGATTACTAGAGGACAATTAGATATTATAACTGATCACTTTAGGTTTGTGTTATTCTAAGAGGAGAGTTTCAATCTTAGGTTTGTAGGACATACAGTTCACCTGAGCTGGAGGGCTGTCAGCACAGATCACTACTCTCTGAATCATCAGTTTCACTCTACCCTTTGTAAACTGTATGACTTGTTTCTTTTCCTTACTTTATTGTGCTGACTTGAACCTCTAGTAACGTGCGGAATAGAAATGATGATAGCAGGCATCCTTGCCTAAGATTCCCAGATTAGAGGGGAAATAGTCAATCTTTTAATAACATTAGGAATGAAGTTAACTGTAGATTTTTCATACATGTCCTTTTTTGTTTCTCAATATCTGAAGGTTGTACCTTTTGACCTCATTCACTCATTTTACCCACCCCCTCACTCTCTGCCTCTGGCAACCACTGATCTCTTCTCTGTGTCTATGAGCATGTTTTTTGTTTGTTTGGTTGTTTGTTTGTTTTTGGGTTTTTTGTTTTAAATTCTACATGTAAGTGAGTTCATATTATATTTGTCTTTCTTTGATCTATTTCACTTAGCATAATGCCTACAAGGTCCATTCATGTTGTTGTAAATGATAGGATTTCATTCTTTTTTATGGCAGAGTAGCATTCCATTGTAGAAGTACACCACACGTTCTTTATCCATTCATCACTTGATGGATACTTTGGCTGCTTCTATAATTTGACTATTGTAAATGACACTGCAATAAACATAAGGGTGTGTGTATCCCTTCAAATTAATGTTTTTGTATTCTTTAGGTAAATATCCAGTGGAGTGATTACTGGATCATATGGTAGTTCCATTTTTAACTTTTTGAGGAACCTCTATACTGTCTTCCAGAATGGCTCTACTAGTTTGCATTTCCATTAACAGTGCATGAGGGTTTCTTTTTCTCCACATCCTCGCCAACAGTTGTTTCTTTTATTTTTGATTTTAGCCATTCTGACAGGTGTGAGGTGAGATCTCATTGCAGTTTTGATTTGCATTTCCCTGATGATGAGTGATGTTGAGCATCTTTTCATGTGTCTGTTGGCCGTCTTGATGTCGTCTTCGGAGAAATGTCTATCATGTCTTCAACATGGCAGAGAACACTTTTGATACTCAGAGACTATGGAAAAATTAGAGCCTGTACTTTCTGTGGTTTTACTCAGATGGTAGATATTTAAAAACATTTTTTTTAATGTTTATTTTTGAGAAAGAGAGAGAAGGAGGGGGAGGGAGAGAGGGGCAGTGAGAGAGGGAGACAAAGAATATGAAGCAGGCCCCAGGCTCCAAGCTCTCAGCACAGAGCTCAAAGCAGGGCTCAAACCCATGAACCACGAGATCATGACCTAAGCCAAAGTCAGACACTCAATCTGCTAAGCCACCCAGGCGCCCCAGATGGTAGATACTTTTAAGGATAGTTGGCATGAAATATATTTGTAACATGTATTTCATAAATACATGAATGAGACAACATATTTGATAGTTGTCTTAGAAGATAACTTTTTATAATGTTCCAAGATGATATTTGGCATTTGCTTTTAATTTATTGTTTGTAAGGAGAGAGGATTACTAGTGAAGATAACATTTTAGAATGCAAAACTTGGTGGGGAAAAAATTCTAGAATTGAAGTGAGTTTCTCCCTCACACAATTTTAGCTGCTTTTGTCAAGCTTTATGTTTCTCTCTTTTAAAAGAGAGGGAATGGGGCGCCTGGGTGGCTTAGTCGGTTAGGCGTCCGACTTTCGCTTAGGTCATGATCTCGCGGTTCGTGGGTTCGAGCCCTGCGTCGGGCTCTATGCTGACTGCCAGCTCAGAGCCTGGAGCCTGTTTCAGTCTGTGACTCCCTCTCTCTCTGACCCTCCCCTGCTCACGCTGTCTCTCTCTCTCTCCTAGAAAAAAAAAAAACATTAAAAAAAAAAAATTTTAAAAGAGAGGGAATGGTGTACCAATTTTGTGACATAATTTCCCATTCCTTGTTTTATTAGTAAAATATTTTGGGAAAAGAAGGCTTTGGAGTTTTGCTAATAAATATAATTTACAATTATGTGTAATAAGCATAATTAAATAAATATAATTTATGTTTATATGGAAATAAATACATATCAAGTAGATAAGTAATTTTGCTTCTAGGGAAGCACATTAAGGGACATTTATAAGCAACTAAATATTGGTGATTTTACTCTTAAGCTAATACTTTTATTATGTAAAGAGCAGAGGATATGAGAATACCTGTGTTTTTCAAGGTAAGATGTTTAATTCCATTATCTATTTTTTTTAAATATTCATTTTATATGTGTGGAAATAAGGTTTCTTAATACACTTGAGACAGTTTAGTTGTCATCATTCAAACAAAGTATAACTTAGTTTTTAATAATATTTAATTTTAAAATTTTGTATTTCTGACAAAGAGTTGATCATGTTTTTAAAGGACCCATTAATGGTGGAACTTTCAAGCCCTGGACCATTGACCTCAGCCCTGTTCCTGTTTCTTCATAGCATGAAGGAGACTGGAAAAGGACCACTTTCTCCTAAAGTTCTTTTTAATCAGCTTTGTCAGAAGTGGGTGCATCTAAGTTTTTGATACAAATAATTATGAGTTATAAAATTCTAATACATCACTTAATATGGGTAGTTTCACTCTTATTATAACACTATTATTATCTAGACTCTCAGAGTAAGAACCAATATTTGTTGCAGCTGTGTTTTATGTAAATTATATCTCATAATACTAAGAAGTGGTTGTTTATCCCCATTTTATTAATAAGGAAACTGAGACTCACAGAAGTTGAGTAGCTTGCTTAGTTGTATAGTTAAAAGCCAGGATTCAGATAAAGGTCTGTCTGATTCAGAAGCCCATGATGTAATCACAAAAAGTAAGAAAAATATAGAATTGTAAAATCTAAAAGGTACTATAATAGGTCATCTGAACCTAGTTTTCTTATTTTTACTTTTATTTTATTATCATTTTTTTAAGTATACTCTACCCTCAATATGGGGCTCAAGCTCATGGCCCCAAGATCAGGACTTGCATGCTCTACCAACTGAGCCAGCCAGGTGCCTTCCTTATTTTTATCTTAATAAGGATAAAAATAAATGTTTAAAAATATTTATTATTTTGAGAGACAGAGAGGTGGCGGGTGTGGCATAGAGAGAGAGGGAGAGAGAGAATCTCAAGCAGGCTCTGGGCTGTCAGTGTGGAGCCTGACATGGGCCTTGATCTCATGAACTGTGAAATCACGACCTGAGCCAAAATCAAGAGTCAGACGCTTAACTGACTGAGCCACCCAGGTGCCCCTTTCCTTATTTTCAGAGATGAGCTTCAAGGCAAGTAGAGTTTAAGTGAATTTCATAAGATAGTGCTGTATGTTCAAAAACAAAATTCTTGTGTGCCTGGAAATAAATACATATTCTAAAGGACCTGACTTAACTTTATTTATTTATTTATTTTTTAATGTTTTTTTTTTTTTTTTTATTTCTAGGAGAGAGAGACAGCGTGAGCAGGGGAGGGTCAGAGAGAGAGGGAGTCATAGACTGAAACAGGCTTCAGGCTCTGAGCTGGCAGTCAGCACAGAGCCCGACGCGGGGCACGAACCCACGAACCGCGAGATCATGACCTAAGCGAAAGTCGGACGCTTAACCGACTAAGCCACCTAGGCGCCCCGGACCTGACTTAACTTTAATGCTTTCACTTACTCCTTCATCTAAAAAAATTGAGAACTTATTTGTGTCAGTTACTTGCTAGAATCTAGGGGTACATAGTGTGTAGTATATTAAAAATAGATCCTGTCATGGAGTTCATGTGCTGGTCCAGTCCACAATTACTAAAATATATAGAAACAAAATTCTTTAAATGGGAACTTACATTTTTTTTTTTATAACTCTAGCCTTTAAAATTTTATTTTAATTTAAGCTAGTTATTTATGCCATGGATATTGTATTTTAACTCATAGAATTGTACCAAAGTTAAGTTTTTAAAAATTGTGAAAAGAGCACCTACCATGAGTTCTGTCTTCTTGAATTTTTTTCTTTTTTTCTCTTAAAGTTTTTACTTGTTTATTTTGAGAGCTAGAGATATATATAGAGAGAGATGTGCAGGGCAGGGGTGGGGTGGGAGAGAATCCCAAGCAGTGTCTGTGCTGACAGCACAAAGCCCAATGCAAGGTTTGATCCCACCAATGGTGAGATCATGAACTGTGCTGAAATCAAGAGTTGGATACTTAACCGACTGAGCCACCCAGGAGTACCCACCTTCTTAAAAATTTTAAGTATACAGAGGCACCTGGGTGGCTCAGTCAATTAAGCATCTGACTTCAGCTCAGGTCATGATCTTGTGGTTGTGAGTTTGAGCCCCACATCGGGCTCTGTGCTGATGGCTCAGAACCTGGAGCCTGCTTCAGATTCTGTCTCCCTCTCTCTCTGCCCCTTCCCTGGTCACACTCTGTCTCTCTCTATAAAAATAAGTAAACATTAAAAAAAAAGAATAATAGTATTTGATAAACTCCCAATATCCATTTTTTCCTTAAAAAAAAAACAAAGATTTATTTAAATAAATAAACATTATGTATTACCATTGGTATACCTTGATTCCTGGCCCAGAGAAACCATGAGATAATGAATGTTTTTTTATTTTAAGAAAAAAGAATGGGTATTGGATTTTATTAAATGTTTTTCCTGCATCTATTGAAATAATCATATGGGTTTTTAAAAATCTGTTGAAATAGTAAATTGTATTAATGGTTCTGAATAGCTTGTATATTTGACATACATTAAGCTGTACATGTTTAAAGCATACCATTGGATGAGTTTTGATTACACACATACACACACACACACGTGATACCATTGCCACAATCAATGTGATGAATGTACGCATCACCCCCAAAAGTTTTCTTGGGCTCTTTTGTGATCCCTCTCTCTGGACTCTCTCCCCTAAACCCCTTCCCTCGGTCCCACTCACCTGTTTTTTGTCACTGTGGATTCGTTTACATGTTTTAGATTCCTATATATAATGTGTACTCTTTTTTTAATCTGGTTTCTTGCTGTAATTATTTTGGAAGTCATCTACATTGTGTGTATATATTACTTGATTTCTGAAAGTTGAACCAATCTCTTGTAGATTTTGTAATAAAAGTGATTATCAGACCCTTCTACCACTTGTGAATGTTGAAAAAAAATTCTTCAGCTTTCTTCTGGATTCCCCCTCCCTCTCCAATTCTTGTTATTTTGCAGTAGTTTTAAGGATTCCAAGAAGTTGCAAGAAGAGTACAGAGTTACTGTGTACCCATTATTTAGCTTCCACCATTGATAATATCTTACACAATGGTGCATTATCAAAACCAGGAAATTGACATTGACACAGTATTGTCAGCTCTCCTACAAATCTTATTTGGATCTCACCAGTTTCTACATGCATTCTTCCTTAAAGGGTTCAAAGATGCTCTAGAGTGATTGTTTCCTTATACTCATTAATGCCCATCTTTTGCTTCCTTTATTCCTTCACTCATTTATGTTGCCAACTAATATTGATGTGCTAAGCTTTCATTGGGTTTTGTCCATGAGGAAATATATATGTGTGGGTGTGTGTATGTATTGTATATATACACACTACAAATGTATGTGTGTATACATACACACACATGATATTCTATGGTATGTCATGTACATTAAGGAGTGCCACCAAATTCTCAAAATACTATATCTTCTAATTTACTAGTTTACCCTTCAACTCTGCATAGTTTAGAGTTTATACTATCTATTGATTTTTATATCTGTAGTTTTATTTTCTTTTTTCTAATATTTTCAATTGGCTATCTTATCAATATCTACATATCCTTTAAATTTTTTTTTCTTTTTTACCTAATACCTAGGCGTTTCTTGGCAGTTATGCCTTTATGTTTTTGTACATTCTCAACATGTTGTAACATCTTTGGGACAGTTCTATAAAATTTATTTGGAGTGAAGTAAATGCAATTCGGTTGTTGATTTTTTACATCAGATTTCTTTTTTTTAAAATATAATTTATTGGCAAATTGGCTTCCATACAGCACCCAGTGCTCATCCCAACAGGTGCCCTCCTCACTACCCATCACTCACTTTCCCCTCCCCCCCACCCCCTATCAACTCTTGGTTTTCTGTATTTAAGAGTCTCTTGTGGTTTGCTTTTTTCCCTTTCTGTAACTATTTTGTTTTCCTCCTTTCCTTCCCCCCTGTTCTTCTAAGTTTCTCAAATATGAGTGAATATCTATGATACCTGTCTTACTCTGACTGACTTATTTCACTTAGCATAATACCTTCCAGTTCCATCCATGTTGCTGCAAATGTCAGGATTTCATTCTTCCTCATTGCCATGTAGTATTCCAGTGTAGAGATAAACCACATCTTCTTGAGCCATTCGTCAGTTGATGGACACTTAAGCTCTTTCCATGTTTTGGCTATTGTGGAGAGTGCTTCTATGAACATTGGGGTACATGTGCTCCTATGCATCAGCACTCCTGTATCCCTTGGGTAAATCCCTAGCAGTGCTATTGCTGGGTCATAGGGGAGTTCTATTGTTAAATTTTTGAGGAACCTTCACACTGTTTTCCAGAGGGGCTGCACCAGTTTACATTCCCACCAACAGTGTAGGAGGGTGCCCGTTTCTCCGCATCCTCGCCAACATCTGTTGTTTCTTGACTTGTTCATTTTAGTCATTCTTACTGTTGTGAGGTGGTATCTCAGTATGGCTCTGATTTTTATTTCCCTGATTAACATCAGATTTCTTTGTGTTTTATGATACTAGTTTGTAAGCTCTGTGGGAGGAGAGTTTTTTTGTTGTTTTTTCCCATCTTTGCCCCTTTTGCTTTCTTCCATTTCCTCCACCCTTCCTTTTTTCCCCTGCTGCCCTTTTCACCGCCTCTCCATTACATAGCCTCTTTTCCTCATATCCCTCTCTTCTCTGCCTAAAAATTTCCAATTTTAAGATAGCCTTACCTCTGAACCCTGGGCTGGCCTTGGAGGTCCTGGTCTTGTGCTAGCTTACAGTTAGTTACTCTGCTGCCCTCATCTGGGAGATGTGAGAAGAGTCCATATGCTCGGCCTAGTTTCAGGTCTCTAGGCTATGTCTGTGTTCTCTTGTAGCCTTAGGCAGTATTTGCCCAGGGGCTTCCTTTCAGTCTCTTGGTAAAGTCAGCCATCCTTAGGGGCGCCTGGGTGGCTTAGTCGGTTGAGTGTCCGAGTTTCGCTTGGGTCATGATCTCGCGGTTTGTGGGTTCGAGCCCCGCGTCGGGCTCTGTGCGGACTGCTGGCTCAGAGCCTGGAGTCTGTTTCAGTCTGTGACTCCCTCTCTCTCTGACCCTCACCTGCTCACGCTGTCTCTCTCTCTCTCTCTCTCTCTCTCTCCTAGAAATAAATTAAAAAAAAAAAATTAAAAAAGAGAAAAAAAAGAAAGCCATCCTTAAACAGTGAGCCCAGCTCTGGTGTCTGTCTGACATGGGGTACTTTTCATTTTTTTTACTCTTCAGGGCTGAGCTCTTTCAGGCCCTGAGCTTATAAAGGCTATTTTTCCCTCTGGCAACTATTTGTGTTCTATTTTTTGCTCTGTGGGATTTATTTTGTGTTGAATTCCACTTAAGCCTTTTTTTTGTTTTTCTTGGTTTCTTTTCTCTTTTTCTATTTTGTCAGTATGGTTGGAGTAGAGAGAGTTTTTGGATTATCAACAGACTGACTCACCTTTATCTGTAAGACATCTGCACAAATCCCCTTGTTCTAAATTGTTTTGTCAACAGTCTATTCCTGTTTGATAAATATGAATACATTTTCCTCTTACAAACTGAGATTTTTAGAGGTGTTCTCCTCTTTCCCACAGTAACACTTTTTTTTTTTTTTTTTACTAAGGTACATTTTCTGTGTATATTTCGTTGTCCCCTCATTTTGAATAGGGTGAATCTTTTCATATGTTTGGTGATTTTCCTCTATATCCTTTAAATTTGAAGATCTCTTTGGCATTGGTAGCTCAGATAGGCCCCATTAGGGATTGATTATTTATTTATTAAATTTAAATCCAAGTTAGTTAACGTATAGTGTAATAATGATTTCAGGAATAGAATTTAGTGATTCACTTGATGTATCACTAGGATGTAACACCCAGTACTCATCCTGACAAGTGTCCTCCTTAATGTCCCTCATCCCTTTAGCCTGTCCCCCCCACCCATCACCCTGCCAACAACCTTTAGTTTTTTCTCTGTATTTAAGAATCTCTTATGGTTTGTCTCCCTCTCTGTTTTTATATTATTTTGCTTCTCTTTGTGTTCATCTGTTTTGTATCTTAAATTCCACATGAGTTAAATCATAAGATATTTGTCTTTCTCTGACTTATTTCACTACCATAATATACACTGTTCCATCCACATTGTTGCACATGGCAGTATTTCATTTTTTTGATCCCTGAGTAATATTCCATTGTATGTATGTATGTATATAAATATACCACATCTTCTTTATCTGTTCATCAGTTGATGGACATTTGGGCTCTTTCCATACCTTGGCTATTGTTGATAGCAGTGCCATAAACATTGGGTGCATGTGACCCTTCAAATCAGCACTCCTGTATACTTTGGATAGAACCTAGTAGTGCAATTGCTGGGTCATAGGGTAATTCTGTTTTTAATTTTTTGAGGAACCTCCATGCTGTTTTCCAGAGCAGCTGTATAAGTTTGCATTCCCACCAGCATTGCAAAAGGGTTCCTTTTTATCTGCATCCTTGCCAGTATCTGTTGTTGCCTGAGTTGTTGATTTTAGCCATTCTGACAGGTGTGAGGTGGTATCTCATTGTGGTTTTGATTTCCCTGATGAGTGGTGCTGAGCATTTTTTCATGTGTCTGTTAGCCATCTGGATGTCTTTGGAAAAGTGTCTACTCCTGTCTTTTGCCCATTTCTTCACTGGATTGTTTGGGGGTTTTTTGGTGTTGAGTTTGATAAGTTCTTTACAGATTTTGGATAGTAACCCTTTATCTGATAGGTCATTTGCAAATATCTGTCCCATTCTGTCATTTGCCTTTCAGTTTTGCTGTTTCTTTTGCTGTGCAGAAGATTTTTAATCTTGATGAGGTCCCATCAGTTCATTTTTGCTTTTGTTTCCCTTGTCTCTGGAAGCATGTCAAGTAAGAAGTTGCTGCGGCCAAGGTCAACAAGGTTGTTGCCTGATTTCTCCTCTAGGATTTTGATGGCTTCCTGTCTTATATTTAGGTCTTTCATCCATTTCGAGTTTATTTTTGTGGATGGTGTAAGGAAGTTGTTCAGGTTCATTCTTCTACATGTCCCCATTTGCGGGAGAGACTGTCTTTATTCCACTGGATATTCTTTCCTGCTTTGTCAAAGATGAGTTGGCCATATGTTTGTGGGTCCTTTCTGGGTTCTCTGTTCTGTTCCATTGATCTGTGTATCTGTTTTTGTGGCAGTACCATGATGTCTTGATGATTACAGCTTTGTATTATAGCTTGAAGTCTAGAATTGTGATGCCTCCAGCTTTGGTTTTCTTTTTCAGGATTGCTTTGGCTATTCAGGGTCTTTTGTGGTTCCATATAAGTTTTAGGATTGTTCTAGCTAAGAATATTGGTGTTATTTTGATAGGGATTGCTTTGAATATATAGATTGCTTTGGGTAGTATCAACTCTATTAGAGAATCTTTAAGGCATCTTAGAATTTTTTACCCAGTCCTAGGTAGAAGAAGAAAGAAAAAAGAAATCTAGGTTTTTCTTTGTTTGTTTATTTATTTTCAAGTTAGTTAACATATATTTTCAAGTTAGTTTGCCAATATATGTATTGGTTCCAGGAGTAGAATTTAGTGATTCATCATTAATTTTCTTGAGTGTTTTACAAGGCGGTAATTGTTCTGTGCATAGCTTAGATGGAGCTATAGGCAGAGACATGGTAGAGGAAGTTTCTCCTTCGTTCAGGAACTATTTCCTCCCTTTGCATCTGCTTTGAAAGTCACAGACTTCTCCACCTACCTGTTACATGGCAGATGAGGATCCCTGAAGGATTCCCTGGTTGCCCTTTGCAGTCTTCTTCCACTTTACTGACCTTCCTTGATGCCTATAGCACGAGTGTCATGTCATGCAATTTCTACCTTTTATGGATTCCAGCCATAGAAGCCCAGATAGGGTTGAGAAATGTGTCCATCTTGGTTTCTGTCCTCATCTCTGATCTACAAGGTGAGCAATATCCACGAAATTCAGAAAGGGAAGCCCACAAGGGGAGTAAATCAAAGTTGTCAGCATCATGTGGCTTTTGCTACTACTTAACAAGCGTGAGTAACTAAAATTACAGTTCCTATTACAGGCTAGATTCACTACTAGTTCAGATAGCTTTTTAGTACCAGGGACTCACGTTAGTGCATCACTGGAATGAATGTATATTATGAGATAGTGAAGAATAATGCTTAAAGTACTGGATTCAAGAATCAAAAGACTTGGATTTATGTCAGTGGCACTCAGGTTGTTCTTCAGTTTCCTCAAGTGTAAAACAGAGTTCATATTAATTATGAATTTCTTAACAGCACTGTTGTACGTATCAAATGATATATGTTGGGCATATCACAAGGAGAACATTATAAGCTTGTACTACCATATGATATTCTTACTATTTTGTATTACTTTGACAAAATTATTTCTTCATCTTAGATGAGAGCAGTATCTAAATTTAGTATTCATTTTCATTTCATTTTTGTATTGGAGTTTATTGCAGAAAAGACTGCTTTTTAAAGTTACTAGAATCAACTACCTACTTGCTGTGTTGATGTCTCCATGAATAGCACCTGATCCTTTAATTAATACAAGGAAATCTAAGCATTAAATCCTTAAAAGAAATACATTCACAGAGATATCAGATTATAGTTCTTTATTTTAATATAAATAGCTTCTTGTTTTTCTTTTCGTAGGAAGGTAAATGGATCACAGTGGCATGGGTTTGACTGCTATAGTTTTGCTTGCTGTGTGACCTTGCAAATTATTTAAATAATCCCTCTTAGCCTTCATATATAAACTGGAGAAAGTAGTGCATCCCATGCTTGTTTGAGGATTGACATATGTAAAGCTTAACATATGTACTATGCTTGCATGTAGTAGTCACTTGACAAATGATAGCCATATTATACTTTTTTTATTTCAAATTTATTTATTTATTTTGAAAGAGGGGGAGGGGGGAAGAGAATCCCAAGAAGGCTTCAGGCTGTCAGTGCAGGGTACCATGTGGGCGTTGATTCCAAGAACCATGAGATCATGACCTGAGCCAAAATCAAGAGTCAGATGCTTAACCAACTGAGCCACCCAGGCGCCCTGATAACTATATTATTCTCTGTGTACTTAAGATCTCATCCCAACTGGAGCAGTGGTCATGTTTGTTCTTTTTACCAAGTAGTAAAAGGACTGTATACAATCTTTGAATATATGTTATTTAAAAATGATTTTAGATGAGGAGTGCTTGGGTGACTCAGTCGCTTAAGTGATCAAGGTTTGTAGGATCGAGCCTTGTGTTGGGCTGTGGGCTGACTGCCTGGAACCTGCTTGGGATTCTCTCCCTCTCTCTTTCTCTGCCCCCCCCCCCCATGCACATACACCCTCTCTTTCAAATACTTTAATCATTTAACCATTAAAAAATGATTTTTGATGGTAATAATGTATTTTTGATGAAATTATCTATTTTCTTTCCTTTTTTTTTTTTTTTAAATCATAGGGCCCCTCGATTTAAAGGTTTCCAGCAACAAGACAGTCAGGAGCTTCTGCACTCTCTGTTGGACGCAGTGAGGATGGAAGAAACAAAGGTCAGATTTCTTCAAATTGATAACACCTACTTTTTAAGAAGAGGGTACAAAAATGAAGAAGTTAATTTCTACTATAATTTTAATATAGATTGAGAAGTAATTTGATTTTTTCTAACTTTTCTATTTATTCCTTTATTTATGTATCTTTGGCCAGTTCTTCTAAAAGATTATTTTCTTTTATCCTTTGCAACCCCATCATCCTTTATTAGTTAATACCCTTTGACTGTAAATAACAAATCAATTCAAGCTAGCTTAAAGAAAGAAAAGTAAATCTAAGAATCTCAGTGAAGGGAGGTATAGGTAGCGATATAGGGACAGGAAGGTTCTCCGGAATCTAGAGAACATTTTCCTTATTTTCCTAGTTTCTCTGGCTCTGTAGATTTTCTTTATTCATCTCCTTGCAAACTGAGTAGTTTCTCAGCTTCTCTCTCTGAATGGTAGCACATGACCTTCATATTTTGCACATATTGCAGTTCCACATATATAAAAACAAAACTGGCTGTTTGTGAATCCCAGCTCTGAAGAGAAACTTTGTTCCCTCATGTTGGATTAGGATCCACTCAGGGATTAGTCACTTGTAACTAGGGAAGTGGGATCCAAGCCTCCTGAATCAAGGAATGTTTTTGAGAAAAAGAAGAATGGCTCATGGCCTGGAGAGATTCCCCAAACAGTGTTCATTGTCATCCTATCCCTTCCTTGATTGGGTGGTAGTTGCCTTTAATAGTAAATGAGTTAAATTCGACTTTTTTGGTGGGGTCCTACAAATGGGATACAATTTTTCAGAGAAAATGCAAGATATTACAGATGTCAAGTACACATCACCTATTCTCCATATTCCATCTATCACATTATTAATCATTCATAACAGTTCTGCTGAGTCTGGATTCAGCCTCAGAATCATTCTCAACCTACTACTGCAGGCACGCCCTCACAATGATAATTTTTATAATAGGTGAAATCCTGTTTTCCATTCAAGGTACATACACTACTTAATTTATGTTACTATGTAGCAGAGCAAAGAAAATGAAGTACTCCTATTCTTGTGATAGCAGTTACTATGACACTAGGCAAGGTAGATCCTCCTCTTTCTATTTTTTAAAATCTTACCTTGAGGGATGCCTGGGTGACTTAGTCGGTTAAGCATAGGACTCTTGATCTTGGCTCAGGTCATGATTTCATGGTTCGTGGGATTGAGCCCCAAGCTGGGCTCCATGCTGACAGCATAGAGCCTGCTTCAGATACCTCTCCCTTTCTCTCTCTCTGCCTCTTCCCTACTTGCGTTCAGTTTCTCTCTCTCAAAATAAATAAATAAACTAAAATAATGAAAAATAAAATCTCACCTCAAATTGTAATATTGTAGTATTCTAGTTTTCAGTAGAGTTCTAATATTTTCTTTTATCATAAAGAATGAGTTAATCACTCCCTCCTGCTACCAAACAATGTTTTTATTACAGTTCTGTTCTTAATTGGCTATTTATTGACTTCCGTATTAAATTAATTAATTTCAACTTTTGAAGGTGTCAGTCCTTTTCTGCTCTCTCTCTACTTGATATATGTATATAAGTTATATATATATATGTATTATATATATTTAAGTTTGTGTTTTAATTCCAGTTAACATATGGTGTTATATTAGTTTCATATATACAATATAGTGATTCAGCAGTTCCATGCATCAGCTGGTGCTCAGCACAGCAAGTGCACTCCCTAATCCCCATCACCTATCTCACCCATCCCCCCACTAACCTCCCCCTCTGGGAATCATCAGTGTGTTCTCTGTAGTTAAGACTCTGTTTCTTGGTTTCTCTCTCATTTCCCCTTTGCTCATTCATTTTGTTTCTTAAATTCCACATGTAAATAAAATCATATGGTATTTGTCCTTCTCTGACTGATGGACTTCGCTTAGTTCCCTCTCTAGTTCCTGCCATGTTGTTGCAAATGGCAAGACTTCATTCTTTTCTGTGGTGGAATAATACTCCATTTTATAAATGTACCACATTTTTATTCATTCATTTTAATTGATGGACATTTGGGCTGCTTCTATAATTTGGCTATTATAAATAATACTGCAATAAACATACAGGTGCATGTATACCTTTGAATTAGTGTTATCATATTCTTTGGGTAAACACCCAGCAGTGCGATTTTTGGATCATAGGGTAGTTCTATTTTTAACTTTTTGAGGAACTTCATCCAGAGTGGCTGTACCAGTTTGCATTCCCAACAGTACACAAGGGTTCCTTTTTCTCCACATCCTCACTAATAGCTATTGTGTCTTATATTTTTATTTTACCCATTCTGACAAGTAGGAAGTGATCTCATTGTATTTTGATTTGCATTTCCCTCATGATGAATGATGATGAGCATCTTTTCATGTGTCTGTCGGCTGTGTGCATGTCTTTGGAGAAATGTCTGTTCATGTCTTTTGCCCATTTGGTTATTGGATTATTTTTTATGTGTGTTGAGTCATATCAATTCTTTATATATTTTGGATACTAACCCTTTACTGGATATGTCATTTCCAAGTATTGTCTCCCATTCTGGAGGTTGCCTTTTAGTTTTGTTGATTGTTTTCTTTGCTGTGCAGAAGCTTTTTATTTTGACTTAATCCCAACAGTTGTTTTTTTGTTTGTTTTTGTTTCTCTTGCCTCACAAGACATATCTAGAAAGAAGTTGCTATGGCTGGTGTCAAAAAAGTTACCATAGCCTGTGTTCTCTTCTGAGATTTTTATGGTTACAGGTTTCACATTTAGGTCTTTAGTCCATTTTGAATATATTTTTGTGTATGGTGTAACAAAGGGATCCAGTTTCATTATTTTGCACATAACTGGCTAGCTTTTCCAACACTGTTTGTTGAAAAGACAGTCTTTTTCCTGTTGCATGTTCTTACCTACTTTGTTGAAGTTTAATTGACCATATAATTGTGGGTTCATTTCTGGGCTTTCTGTTCTGTTCCACTGATTTGAGAGTCTGTTCTTGTGCCAGTACCATACTGTCTTGCTGGTTATAGCTTTGTAATACAGCTTGAAGTCTGTAATTCTGATGCCTCCAGCTTTGGTTTTCTTTTTTAAAATTGCCTTCACTCTTCAAGGTCTTTTGTAGTTCCATACAAATTTTAGCATTGTTTGTTGTAGTTCTATGAAAATGTTGGTATTTGATAGGGATTGTATTAAACACGTAGATTGCTTTGTGTAGTATAGACATTTTATTTTATTTTATTTATTTATTTATTTTTTTAATGTTTTATTTATTTCTAGGAGAGAGAGAGAGACAGCGTGAACAGGGGAGGGTCAGAGAGAGAGGGAGTCACAGACTGAAACAGGCTCCAGGCTCCGAGCTGGCAGTCAGCACAGAGCCAGAAACAGGCTCCAGGCTCCGAGCTGGCAGTCAGCACAGAGCCCGACGCGGGGCTCGAACCCACGAACCGCGAGATCATGACCTAAGCGAAAGTCGGACGCTTAACCGACTAAGCCACCCAGGCGCCCCTTGTATAGACATTTTAACAATATTTACTCTTCCAGTCCATGAGCATGGAATGTCTTTCCATTTCTTTCTTTTTTTTTTATGCTTATTAATTTTTTTGAGAGTGTGAGTGGGGGAGGGGCAGAGAAAGAGGAAGACAGAGGATCTGGAGCAGGCTGTGTGCTGATAGCAGCGAGCCCGATGTGGGCCTCGAAGTACCAAACTTTGAGATCATGACCTGAGCTGAAATCAGATGCTCAACCGAATGAGCCACCCAGGTGCCCCTGTCTTTCCATTTATTTGTATCATCATCAATTTCTTTCATCACTGTTGCATAGTTTTCAGAGTACAGGTCTTTTACCTTTTTGGTTAGGTGTATTCTTAAGTATCTTATTTTTGGTGTAATTATAAATAGGATTGTTTGCTTAATTTCTGTTTCTGCTGCTTCATTATTGATGTATAGAAATATAATAGATTTCTCTGTGTTGATTTTGTATCCTGAGACTTTACTGAATTCATTTATCAGTGCTAGTAGTTTTTTTTAATTGAGTCTTTAAGATTTTTTGTATATAATATGTCTTCTGAAAATAATGAAAGTTTTACTTCTGCCTTACCAATTTGGATACCCTTTATTTTTGTTGTCTCATTGCTGTGGCTAGGACTTCCAGTACTATGTTTAATAAAAATGGTGAGAGTGGACATTCTTGTCTTATTCCCCATGTTAGGAGAAAGCTCTGTTTTTCCCCATTGAGGATGATATTAGCTGTGGGTTTTTCATATATGGCCTTTATGATGTTGAGGTATGTTCCCTCTAAACCTACTTAGTTGAGGTTTGTTTTGTTTTGTTTTGATTTTTGGTTTTGGTGATGAATGGATGTTGTATTTTGTCAAAGGCTTTTTCTGCATCCATTGAAATGATTATATGGTTCCTATCCTTTGCTTGTAATGTGATGTTGACTGCTTTGTGAATACTGAACCACCCTTGCAACCCAAAATAAATCCCATTTGATCATGATGAGTGATTTTTTTAAATTTATTGTTAGATTCGGTTTGCTGATATTTTGTTGAGGATTTTTGCATCTTTGTTCATCGAGATATTGGCCTATAATTCTCTTTTTGTGGTATCCTTGTCTGGTTTTGGTATCAGGGTAATGCTGGTTTCATAGAATGAATTTGGAAATTTTCCTAACTTTTCTATCTTTTGGAATACTTTGAGAAGAATAGGTATTAACTCTTCTTAAACGTTTGGTACAATTTGCCTGTGAAGCCATCTGGTCCTGAACTTTTATTTGTTGGGATTTTTTGATTACTGATTCAATTTCTTTGCTGGTTTTCTGTCTAAATTTTGTATTCCTTCCTGTTTCATTTTGGTAGTTTATATGTTTCTAGGAATTTATTCATTTCTTCTAGGTTGTCCAATTTTTTGACGTATAGTTTTACATAATCTTTTACAATTGTATTTCTGTGGTGTTGGTTGTTACTTCTCTTCTCTCATTTTTAATTTTGAGTCCTTTTTTATTTTCTTGATAAGTTTGGCT